GCGAGCCCGTTCCTTGGATAACGGTCTAGTCAGGGAATGCTTTAATAGGGCTAATGATCTGGAGACTGTTCAGATGTTTAGATATTTGTCACCTGTCGATTTGACCCTGGCCTCCTCTATGAGAGTGCAGACCTCCTATTTTACCATAGGAGAATCCACACTATGAACATACGTGATACGGTATATAATACCGCACAATGAAATTGTATTTTGTTTTGTAAATATTTCTTTTCTCTTGTAAATATCTTTTTATTACCTTTTGTAAATATATTTATTTAGGTTTATAAGTTTTTGCTATTAGGCATAAGTTAGTTCATAAGCTTGGAATGTATCCCTTTTTTAATCCCATTTTTTGGGGAATTGATCGTAAATGAAAAGAATGTTTTGAATAAGTGACATAGCATAGCTATATTTTTTGATAATATTAGAAAGTCCATTATTGATACTATAGTATGTAGGAAAAATGAATTAATTGTTTTAGTTTTGTAAAATAACCTAAATGTAATTAACTGAATTTTTATGGGAAATAAACTGAAACTGAAACTCCAAGTCACTTTTTAGTTATTATTTAAAACACTTCACTCGAGCACTGTTAAACACAAACTTTATATATCTTCTCCACACAAGTAATCGAGTATTTATACTTGTTCTGCTTACTAGTAATACGTTTAGGGGTTGATTATCTACACACAATAATAAGTAAATAAACCAATATATTGTACACACAAAAAAGGTATATAATGTGTACATATTGAGTTGAATTTTAAAATTAGTGAACAGTGTTAAAAGTGTTTGTGAAGTGTAAACTACTAAAAATTAATTAAATTGTGAAAAATGCCTCCTAAAGCAAGTGGAAAAGCAACCAAGAAGGCTGGCAAAGCCCAAAAGAATATTAGTAAAAGTGATAAGAGCAGAAAACGCAAGCGTAAGGAAAGTTATGCTATCTACATTTACAAAGTATTGAAGCAAGTACATCCTGATACTAGTATTTCATCAAAGGCCATGAGTATCATGAACAGTTTTGTTAATGATATTTTTGAACGTATTGCCGCTGAAGCATCTCGTTTGGCTCAATAACAATAAAGGTTCGACCATCACCAGTCGGGAAATTCAAACTGCCGTTCGTCTATTGTTGCCCGGTGAATTGGCTAAGCATGCCGTCAGTGAGGGTACCAAGGCTGTCACCAAATACACCAGTTCCAAGTAAATTTAATTTACATAAATTGCCGTTTAATTCTTTTTCCTATTACAAAAGGCCCTTTTCAGGGCCACAAAATACATTTAAAAAGAGTGATTTATTGTTTGAAACATATATATTTTTTCATTACATAATAAAAATTGTGATTATTGTAAAAATTTTCATTATTTTTATTGCATAATATACCTGTTCCAAATAAATTTACTTTTATCTCCGTTTGATTTCTTATTTTTACAAAAGGCCAGGCCATTTTCAAGGAAACAAAATACATTTAAAAAGAGTCATTTATTGTTTAAAACATATAATTTTTCATTATTGTGATTATTGACAAATTTTTAATTATTTTTATTTAATAAAACGAATGAAACAGTATTTTATTTCAAATTTTATAACTGACAAAATTTGATTTTATTTATCAAATTCACAAACCAAACTGTGTTGGTTTGTGAATTTGACAATTTTAATAAAAATGGTATGAATTTTTACTATTTTAGAGCAAGGGTGTTATCGATACTTAATTTTTAAATTAGGTGAAGTTGTAACAACTTATGAAATTTAAACAGTTTTTTTTTTTTTTGAAAATATTTAAAATTAACGATTTAATTTTTCTTCTTTTCTTTTGGCTCTTTGGAGGCAGCTGCTGACAATTTGAATGAACCAGCAGCACCCTTACCTTTTGGTTGAATTAATTTTCCACTATCTACGGCACTTTTTAAATATTTCTTTATGAAAGGCGATAATTTTTGAGCATCTACCTTATAAGTACTGGCAATATATTTTTTAATAGCAGAAAGAGATGAACCAGCACGTTCCTTTAAAGTTTTAATAGCAGCATCAACCATTTGTTGAGTTGGAGGATGAGATGGCACAGTAGATGGTTTCTTTGCCTTGGGAGTAGTAGTTTTTTTAGCCTTTTTCTCAGCAGCTGGAGCGGCAGCAACAGGAGAGCCAGTATTTTCAACAACAGCGGTATCCGACATTTTGTATTTGTTTATTTTATTTTTTCACTTTTTTTAAACACACTTGTATATGGTAGTATAACTTTTCGATTGTGTGCACACACGAAATTTTAAGGTACTTTGTTATAATGAGAAGTTAATAGTAGTCGATAGCTATAATTTGTTAAATTTTTAGTGAGAGCATGAGTAAAATTCAACAAAAGTTTTCTACTTTTTTCTTATTTTTCTTTAATTTTTAATAAAAATTTTATAAATTTATTGCTATTCTTGATAGTATGGGTTTTCTAGATTCCATTTTATTAAAAATTATTCATATTGTTTTTGTCAAACAATATTTATCATCATTTTTGTGATAAGTTTTTGATACATTTACCATAAAATGTAAATAAAATGTCAATAAATTGTTACATTTTTATGAAATTTTATAACCAAGTTGATTTTATAAGAATATTACAAATGTTTTTTAAATGATTGATTAAAAAAATTCTCATAATTTTAATTTTTAGATTTTTGAAAATTATTTTTAAATTTGCTGTATTACTTGGTGATTTTTCTTGTTTTGCCACTGTGAATTTGCATTGTTTACATTTTTTCATAAATTTAATCAAATATCAAAAATAATAAAAAATTTTAGCCACATATCCAAATAATATTTATGACATTTTTCTAAAATAATTTCATAAAAGTTTTTCTTAAGTGTTTTTCTTATTTTGTCACTTTAAATATTTACTGTTTACATTTTTTCTATTTTTGGTCCACAAATTTAAGCAAATATAAAAAAATATTTAATGAAAATTTTCGCAATAAATCCTTATAATATCATAAATATCTTTCTAAAGTAATTTTATAAAAATTTTTGTTAAATATGAAAACAAAAATTACTCTAAATTTAAAAACATTTTTAAGGAAAATACAAGTTTTTTTCAATTTTCGATTAAAAAACTCTAATTTTGATATTTAGTCTCTCATTTTCTAAATTTCTTCAACACATCTTAAAACAATTTTTGTGAAATTATTTTCAATAACATATGAAGTGTTAAACAAAATAAATTTCAATTTTTTTCAAAAAATCCTTTTTTAATGGAAATATATTATTAATTTCTTTGTTTATATTAAAAGTAGAAAAAAATTAAACTATTATTTCATAATATTTATATTATTTGTATTAAAATCCATAATTTCTATTAAAAGTCAAATGAAAAAAGCCGACGGCAAAATTAATTGTTATGCCGACGGTAAAACATCTTGCAATGCCGACGGGAAAATATCATGTTATGCCGTCGGCAAAATAATGTTTCAACAAAAAATAAAATACTCTTTATAAATATGTTTATTGGCCCTTAAAAGAACCGATTCAGCATAGTTTATACATAAATATCATATCAAAAATTGCACTCTTTTTAAATTTTATTCAGTGGTCCTGAAAAGGACCGATTTTTTGTTACAATTCATCATCTCTATTTTCTTTCTTAAGCACGTTCACCACGAATACGTCTGGCCAATTGAATATCTTTCGGCATAATTGTGACACGTTTTGCATGAATGGCACACAAATTTGTATCTTCGAAAAGACCAACCAAATATGCTTCACTGGCTTCTTGCAAAGCCATAACAGCAGAACTCTGGAAACGTAAATCAGTTTTGAAATCTTGAGCAATTTCACGAACCAAACGTTGGAATGGCAATTTACGAAATAACAATTCAGTACTCTTCTGATAACGACGAATTTCACGCAAAGCTACAGTACCGGGACGATAACGATGTGGCTTCTTAACACCACCAGTGGCTGGTGCACTTTTACGTGCAGCCTTAGTAGCCAATTGTTTACGTGGTGCTTTGCCACCAGTCGATTTACGGGCAGTTTGCTTATACGAGCCATTTTCACTTCACTTTAGTTAGTCACTTTTCTTTTTTTCTTTAACACACACTTAAACATTGTTCACACAAGAATATTCTGGCTGCATTTCATTTCATTTCATTTCATTTATTTTCCAAAACATTCAATTTACATGTTTTCTTAAAACTAATAATCATGTTACATATATTCCGACATACTAAGTATCCTCCATGGACTTTCAAACTTAAAACTACTTACAAATTTCTAGCTATTACTAAATAATTATAATTCTAAATTAATTTTACATTTAATGTGTTTAATTCTATAAATAATCCCTCAAAAAATGGAAAAAAAGGGACGCTCTCATTCTTACTTAAAACTAAAAAACAAAACTTAATACCTAATAAAGAAACATGAAAAATTATTTACAAAAGTTATAGGATAGAAATTATAAGAATGAAATATGTACAAAAGATTTGGCCTATGGCCTATTGCGCCGTGTTATACACCACATTGCATACATCCAACGTCCCTATCCTCCTATGATAAAATAAGAGGTTTGTACCATCATAAAGAAGCCCAGCCTCATCCAACGCGAGAAGGTCAATTGGTGACAAATATCGGGCCATCTGGATGGACTCCATATTGCCCGCACTCTCGAAACACCCCTGAACAAGACTGTTCTCTAAGGAACGAGCCTTCTCCAGAAATCTAATACCAGTGCCCATCATAAACGCATCGATCCTCTGAAAGTCGATCGCCCCATAGATCGATCTACATGAAGGACGCCGGTATATGCCATCTGGCCCCAGTTTGCGCCGTAAGCCCAAACAAGATACCAATATCCTTCTCTCCCATACCCTAAGCCTCTCCATCTGAGCAGAAGAAATTCTGGACCAGACTGGAAAGGCGTAGGATATGAGAGGGCGGATTATCTGGCGGTAGAGTAATAGACCTATCTTCCTATCTAAACCTCGACGGCCGAGGATACCCCTATATATCGCATATGTGCGCTTAGTGGAATCCAAAATATAGTCCACGTGTCGGTAGAACTCAAAGTTCTCGTGGAAAATCACACCAAGGTATCGCATTCTGTCGGAAACCCTAACACACTCCCCTCCAATCCAAATTGATGGAATGAAAGACCTACAATTAGGGTAAAGGTACTTACGCCTTCCCTTAATCATGACAGCCACCGTTTTGTCCATATTCAGACGCAACTGCCACTTTGCAAAATACGGGGCCAGCACAGCCAAATACTCGTTCACACGATTATTGACAGTCCTAGCCCGGGGTCCTGAGGATGCCAACAAAATATCATCAGCGTATAGAAGCAAGAGATCACCCTCTGGTGGCCCAGGGATATCGGACAAAAATATATTGTATAAGACAGGTCCAAGTAGAGATCCCTGCGGAACACCTGCAGTCACAGTCCTCAAGTCCGAACGGGTGTCGTTCACCCTCACACTAAAAAATCTGTCCGTGAGGAAGTTACTAACCATCCTGCAAGTGCCCCTGTCGAAACCAATGTCCATCATCTTATAAATGATTCCGTCCTGCCAAGCAGAGTCGAAAGCCTTGGTAAAGTCCAGGCTTACCGCAATCGTGGGGTGTCTTCTACCTAAACCGCGGGACACGTAGTCCGAAAACACCATCAATGCATGAGTGGTCGAGTGTCCGCCCTTAAAGCCGAATTGGCAGTCCGGTAGAATGCCATCCTCGGATATCCTATCATTAATTCGGTCCAATATAAATCGTTCCAGGAGTTTTCCAAATGGAGAGAGTAAGGAGATTGGTCTGTAGTTGGCACATTGCCTTGGGTCAGATCTGGGTTTATGTATTGGTACGACCAAGGCCCTCTTCCATGCCCTCGGGAAGTATCCAATGTTCAGGCAGTGGTTTACCAATATCGCCAAGAAAGTCCAAGTTTCCGTACGAGTCCTCTTAAGTACAATGTCCGGTATTCCGTCCGGTCCACATGACTTCTTATTGGCCCTCCTCCTTAAAGCAGTCCCAACCATTTCAGCCGTGATCAGATTTTGTCCGTTCAATCCCACTCCGTCCGCAGTAATCGTATCCCCAAAGATAATCGAGGGCGTTCTGTCGTGTAATGTGGATACTCTGTCCTTTACTGTCGTTGCAAATGTGTTATCAGTCGAGCTTTGAATATTCTGATGTACATCGGTGAAATGATCGGCCAAAAAAGCAGCTTTCCCCGCATCGTCAGATATCAACGAACCACCTGTACCAACCAGATCGTGTACTCCTACATGTTTATTAAGTCCTGCAGCTGCCTTGACAGTCCTGAATGTCCTGTTGTTCAGTTGTATGTTACCTAGAAATTTCGTCCATTGTTCACGTTCGTATACAGATATTGCCCCCTGAATTATCCTGTCCAGGTTCCTGATGTCAGCCTTCAGAATAACACACCGTCCCGGGTCCTCGCATCTATACGCCAGTCTCCGAAGTCTTTTCTTCTCCGCAATAAACCGCAATATATAAGGCGGAAGCCTACCCAATCCCCTATTACCCACAGGGACCCTAGGAATGGAAGCGTCCATTGCAATCCTAAAGCTCAATACATCGGTCAATATCCTCCTCAGTCACGTTCGCGTCTATAGGGAGCGCACTTTCGGTCAACTGTCTAGATAATATAGTATTAAATCGTACGCGGTCCATTTTGTCGAAGTCAAATCTGGTCGGTCTGATACGCCCTACACAGTCCCCTATATTAAATACAGCTTCCACCGCCCTATGGTCCGATTCGAAGTCAAGTGTCCTAAGTCCATTGCCTGTCATCAGTGGAGCCATATCTACAGAAGTCATAATTAAGTCGATGTACGAAGAAGAGTGAGTAGTGATCCTCGTAGGGCCATCTGTTGGATGTATATCCAGATTAGGGTTGTTCAGAAGTAAGTCACGCAGGGTTCTACCGCTCGTGTCTGTCACCGAGTCGCCCCAAAATGAGTGTCTGGCATTTAGATCGCCACCAATCACCACACCACCATCATTTGAGAGGTCGAAAATCGGGTTAAGATCACTAGCGAGCAGTGCACCATGAGGCCTACGATATAAAGATACCACAGTCAAGGTACCACCACTCATCCTATGAATACGTACAGTCGTGTTCTCTATTGTCCCGGTGTCCAGTAAGATTCGTTCGCAAGAAAGGCTATCTCTGACGAGAATAGCCGTCCCTCCCCCACGTCCGCTTTGTCGATTCTGCCTAAAAGTCACGTATCCTCTCAAATCTAGCTTATGGCGGGGACTAAGTCTGTGCTCAGCCATAAGCAGTACATCCGGTTTGTGTCTGTCCAAAAACAGTCCTAAGTAGTGTCTCTTGGTTCGAGAGACAACCGAGTTCACGTTAATAAAAATACACTTCACCGTCCTAGCCATCGCGCTGTAATGATATTAACATACCCAGCAATGCCCTGGATTTAGTCTCGTCATCGTCCAGTGTGCGATATTCCCGCGCAAAACCACCTATCTTAGCAAGGCAATTAAGCAACCCTCCACCAAAAAAGCGTCTGCAGTCCTTATCTATGTAGTCAAATTCCCCTATAGCGGCCCCTAAATTAATGCCAGAACCAGATAGTCCGGCAACTGGACTATTAGTAGCGGCAGCACCCGAAGAAACACGACCTGGTGATCCGGTTGCTACAGCCGATGCATACGACAGCCCAGCCCTAACATTCGAAACCATGGTAGGTCGTGGTGCCTCGTGACGTCCACCAGACACCCTCTTCGCCTCAATCCTACGCAACAGTTCAATTCTACGCGGACACTCCTTAGAGCTAGCGGTATGACCATCCACGCCACAATTCACGCATCTAACCTGATGACCTACTCGTCTAATCACCTGTCCAGTGGCGGGATCAGTAACCAAGGTTTCCCTATTATCATCAGCTTTGGGGGGAATGCTGCAATTCCCAGGACCATGTGACGCTCCGCACTTCACGCAGCGGTATGGCATATGGCAGTTGGCCGAGGTGTGTCCAAAACGTTGGCAATTGAAGCACTGCGTAATTGCCCCTTTCCTGAACTTCCTAGTAGTTACCTTACAACGAAGAATATAGCGAATGTTAAAGAATGCCTCCAAATCCGACTCCCGCGATAGTTGCAGAAGCCACCTATCATTACCCAAATCAACAATCCTGATTATACCAAGTTTAATATGGAGACCATCCAAATAGCCCCTAACGTCGTCAACACTATACGTCCCAGATAGACCTTCGATGACCACTGAATATGGTCTCAACCCCTTAGGGGTGTAGGTAAAATAATTAACCTTCCTTTCAGTCAACAAAACCTTAAGCTTCTCAAAATCAGCAATGGTACAAACCCCTATATTGGTGGCATTTCGTCCCATTAATTTAATATTAAAATTAGAGTGGCCTAAAGCCTTATCAATAGCATCAGAAATTTCCTTAACATTTACATTGTATGTAGTTATAATAGGTATTTTTCCCGACTTACTTTTACTATTACTGCTATTAGCAGCTAAAACCGGTCGAGCTTGACTGCAACCAGGAACGTCATCGTCAGCACCTGCATCTGGGGCAGCAACATCCATAGCAACAATTCTCTTTTTGGCAGCACTTTCATCCACTACAGCATTAGAACCAGCTACGGCTTTAGCCTGGATCCTCTCACTTTTCGATTTCTTGGCGGAAGATTTCTTGCTCTTCTTTTGTTTTTTAGCCTTCTTCACTTTCTTCGCGACTGGCTCTTCTACGACCATGTCGTCTTCACTCGTCACAATCTCCTCTGTGGAGAATTTAGCATCAATGCTGTTCAATAATTTGTCGATAGTCTCCTGCAATCTATCGACAGTCTCTTGTAATTTTGTCTTTTCCTCACGGATCTTAACCAGTTCATGATTCAGTTCCAAATATGCACTGTTCTTCTCCTCAATGATACGCTGGAGGCCAATCAAGGTATCCCCAGAACGGGTCCTCTTGTTCGGGTTCAGATTCTCATCATCCCCCATGGTGAATAAGTTCTATTCGAGCCCAGATAAGGGCACGAAATTATCGAATTCAATTCACAATATAATAAAAATGTTGATTCACTCACGAAATGTTCACAAAATTACACACAATGGGTAAAAATCAAGAATTAGTGTCCTTTTTCACTTTTAGTTGCCTCCTATGGGCTTCTCAAATTATCAAGGCTTAAAAAGCCAAATCACTGCCTACTATTGTGGCTGCGCTTCTCACTTTTTCAAGGTACTTATATTTTTCAGACTAATCGTATAACACTGAGCACTGAGCACTTAACACTTTGACTGACCAATCACAACTCTTTTTCATTCTGGCTGCGCTTCAGATACCCGGTTTATATAGATAATTTGTCTAAACAATAAACAAGGGTGTGTGGCCATGTATTGTACATTTGGTGGTTGATTTGTTAAACGAACAAGAACAGAAATTTAGTATAAATACCAGTGATCACCGCTAAGAAATTATTAGTTCTTGTGAATCATTTGTGAAGTGTGTTTTAAGTGAAAAAATAATCTAAAAAAAAATGACTGGTCGTGGTAAAGGTGGAAAAGGCTTGGGAAAAGGTGGTGCTAAACGTCATCGTAAAGTGTTGCGTGATAATATCCAAGGTATTACCAAGCCAGCTATTAGACGTTTGGCTCGTCGTGGTGGTGTAAAGCGTATTTCTGGTTTGATTTACGAAGAAACTCGTGGTGTCTTGAAGGTCTTTTTGGAAAATGTTATCCGTGATGCTGTCACCTACACTGAACACGCCAAGAGGAAAACCGTTACCGCTATGGATGTCGTCTATGCATTGAAGAGACAAGGTCGTACTTTGTACGGTTTCGGCGGTTAAACATTCATCATATTTTTATATTTTGCGGACAATTTTTAATAGAAAACTAAAACAATCGGTCCTTTTCAGGACCACAAAATGTATTTTAAAAGAGATTTTTATTTATTACAAACTACTAAATATTATTCAAAAATTCGTTAGTTTATTAAATCCAAAATAATAGGATAATTATGAAAAATTATACCATATATAGTATTTGACTTTTTATTTATTTGAGTATGATTGAAATATATTTTAAAAGTCATTATTTTTTGGTTTTTTTAAACAATATTTGTGGAGAAAATTTCGTTTGTTTACAATTTATTTTGCTAAATGAACATTTTTCACACATTTCTTTATAATTTATGCATTTCTTTACACTAAAACCTCTAAAAAAAAAATTAAATTTTGCCGACGGCAAAACGATATATTTTGCCGTCGGCTTTAAGAAATGTTTTTATAAGAAATTTTTCAAAAATTCGTTTTAAATAATTTTTTTAAATTAGTTTTGCATTTTAATGTCATAAAAATTTAAATTTATTAATTTCTAATATACGATCATAATATACATGAAATAATAAAAAATCATACAGACTGTACTGTATTCGTAACAATGCAAAGTATACATAAAACGAAACACATGAACAAACAAGAAGAATCAAAAATATGTCTGTATACTAACAAAACCAAATTCAAAGAAACAAAAACAGGAATTCTTTCATAAACCAGAAATAGTAATAACAACAACAATGCATAATGTTTAAGCGTTTGTTTTATGTGTGTATATACATAAGAATTCATGTATTTTGTTTGTGTAAAAGGGATGATCATGAGACAGATGTTTTTGCAAATTAAAAGAAAACAGGAATAAGAAATATAAAGAAAAGACAAACGAGAAATTAAGAAAAATAAACTACCCAATAGGAAATATATTTACTTAAAGAATATAATTATTCAAAATTCAAGGTTTTTTTTAACTGAGTACTACAAAATAATGATATTTTTATAATACAAAGAACAAAATCACAAAATTTATAATGAAATCAGTCGTTTTATATACATTAATTTAGAACAAAAAATTATTGAATGAAAAAACTTTTAATTTATTTCAAAAAGTTTTAATATTTTTGTCTAATAAAATGTCTATTAAAAATACTTTTAAATAGAATAAAAAATAGATAATTTTTATTATTAGTTTATAATCAATTTTAAGCATAAATGTTTTGACAAAGAAAATAATAAACATAAAATTTCTTAGTTTTGCTTCAGTTACGCATATAACAATACAAAAAATAAAAAAAGAAAACAAATTTCTAAACGTACGTACGTAGAGAAAAACGAAATGTGTACACGAAAACAATTCCATCATCGGCATACAAACAAAGATTCGTATTGAAACAGTAACAACAACATTGTTATTTTTTGATGTAGCTACAGTTGTTTGTGTAAAAGCAAAACAAACAAGAGTAGGGATGATTGAGATTTAAACGATTTTTGAGAATAAAAGTAATATTCATAGAATAGGAGAATTATAAAGAACTGTATTGCATGTATATTATTAAAGGGAAATATTAAAATAACTAAAATTTATTTGTATATATTTTAAATAAATTGTAATTTATAAAACAAAATTGTTCTCTTTTTGAAAATGAATTTGTCGTCCTGAAAAGGACGGATTGTTCTATTTTTTGTTATACGATGGTCTGTATTATATTTTCTCGATGTTATTTCTTTAGTCTTGATTAATTTAGGCTTTCTTTTCTGTTTTCTTGGGCAAAAGTACAGCTTGAATGTTTGGCAAAACACCACCTTGAGCAATTGTTACACCAGATAATAATTTGTTCAATTCTTCGTCATTACGAATAGCCAATTGCAAATGACGGGGAATAATTCTGGTCTTTTTGTTGTCACGAGCAGCATTACCAGCCAATTCAAGAACTTCAGCAGCCAAATATTCCATAACGGCAGCTAAATATACTGGAGCACCGGCACCAACACGTTCAGCATAATTGCCTTTACGTAACAAACGATGTATACGACCGACGGGAAATTGCAAACCAGCACGATTTGAACGAGACTTTGCCTTGCTCTTAACTTTTCCACCTTTACCACGACCAGACATTTTTCACTTTATTATTTTTAGTTAACACTTCACTTTAGCACTGAATACACAAAACTAATATCATTTCAACACAAGTAATCGAGTATTTATACTTTTTCTGCTTACTAGTAATACGTTAAGGGGTTGATTATCTACACACAATAATAAGTAAATAAACCAGTAT